ATATTCTAAATTTTTAATATGCAGTTCAGCTTCACGTTAGTATGCTTATATTCATCTTCTCAAGCCCATGTTGAAAAACGTATTAATATTAAATTAAAAATGGACAAAATTGGAACAAGTCCATATACCATGTATCAGTGTTCCCTCAATCATTTTACACTTCCAATTTTATGAAGTTGATGACCAACCCTTTCTAAACATTATCTAAGTGGTCCATTAAACATGAAAAAAAAAAGTTGAATTAATTTCATTTCAAAATCCCAAGAAACATACAATATATTTTAAAATTCTTACCCCAAATTAAGAAATGGGTGGTTATTCCCACTCTTTATGCCAAAATACATGCAAATAACCAATGTTATTTATGTTCTTTAATTGTCTATAATTTCTCAACTCACTGTATCAACAAACAACTTGAATTAATTAATTACTGTCATATCTGTGGACTTTCCAAATCATGTAAGGTCAATGGAGGATAGTAGGGATTTTATCATTGTTATTTGTTTATTAAAGAAAATATATATCCTACCTTATCATTCCAGTTAGGTATTCAACTTGCTGTCAAGTACTAAGACTGCACAGGGAGAAACATCAGGGATGAAAATTCATATGTGAATAATATCTCAGAATGTGGCCCAAACACATAGACACAAATGGACATTAAGGTTGAAGCATATTATTTTGGACCTTGGGCATCAAAAAAAGATAACTAAAGTCCTGGAAGTAAGTCTAATCAGAACCAAGGTGTAAGCCAAAACCATTGTCTAAATAAGATGTAAAATCAAGATGCAAGTTAGAGTTCATGACTAAAAAATCAAAAAAAGAACCAGAAACAAAGAACCAGAAACAATGAACCAGAGCTACAGAAAACCTTGTTCCTTAATCAAGGATTAGAACATATAGCCCAATTAATCTTATATATGAGAAGATACTCATATAGCGCACTGCTGAGTTTCTTACAGATATAAAGATTGTGTCATTAATTTCATAAACAGTAGAAGATGGTAGGTGCCACTTCAATAAAGACTCTGTAGATTTCTTTGTATATTGAGGATTTAATCTTGGCCACTTTGTCATTTATTTCAGTGGCATCTGATAAATGCCAAATCTAGGGGGGTAGGTAGACTCTGAAGATTGTATTTATGGATTTAATTCCTTTGGAATTATTATTATTATTAATATTAATAATAATAATAATAATAACAATAATTAAGTGGTACTAAATGTATAGTCTTCCAGCTTATGGGCAAATTCTATATTCATTAGATTCTTAGTGATCAGGTTTTTAGGGGCAGGGATCTTCTACTGCATCATAATGAGACCTAAACTGCATTGTAAGGGCATCACTATTATCAGATGATTAAAAAAAAATTAAGAACATTCAATTATATAATTACTTCTGCATTTGAAAACAGTATGAGCTGACTCACAACCCTTAAACTGTATATTAGAGTGCTGTTATCTTCCATTCAGCAATTTTGCAATGCAGTTTTGGCTTTAAAATGCAATAAATGAACCTCAAAATCTGAAGAAAGCTTTGTGTCAGCAAAGACCAAAAAACATAAAATGTTCTGTACAGGACTTCAAAATATTTCTTTTTTCACTAATAACCTATTTAAAAGATTTTGAATTTCTAATGTGGTAGGACTGGAATTTGTAGCCTCACAGATATTAGCTGCATTTGACTAAAGTATGATATATAATATTCAAAACAAGTTTCAGATTTCAGCTGGCCCTTGTCTCCTTTAATAAGAACTTTATATCTAATGAGGATCAATGCCTCTTGCCTAAAATATTTTAATGTAGTTTTCTCTACTTCCCAAAATGGTCTCTATTTAATTTTAAAAAATCAAGATAGATCTTCCATTAATGCTTTTCTAAAACTAGGAAAATTGTTTTAACTTTTTAAAGTAAAAAAATAACATAAAATAAAAACAGTGGCAAATTTGGTTCCTTCACAATACAGGATAAAAATACTGCATGCATACTTTTAGTGCTTTACCATTACATTTCAAAGAAAGGTCAAGCAGATTAAAGGTAAAAATACAAAATAGCTTGTCTATTCTAGGACCTTTCAAAGATACTGAGTAAAGAATTTTCATTGCTTATCCCATCAATATGAAATTACAAGGTCAAAGGATGACTTCTTAATAGGATGGCATTTGGAAAGCTCTTTTACTTAGCAATCTTCTGTTGTTTAGTTCCAAAGCTGAACTAAGTCTCCATCTTTTGGAGAAACTAAGATGGCATTCTTGTAAATGCTGGAATTTTATCACTTCAACAAAGATGTGGAAGAAATGATGGCAGAGTGAAACATTTGTGATCTCTCAAGAATGTGCTGCCATCGCTACAGCACAGATGAAAGAGGCTGCCATCTCCATTGCCTGGAAAGGTCTCCAAAACTCACTTTCCTGTCCTTTGATTGTTAACATTATTTTTAAATGCAGTACATGTAAATAATTCAGTTTTAATAGTATAAGCACAACATGTGACAATTAACGTAGTAGAATAGTCTGCCTTTGCAATTTACTTATTTATATCCTGAAGTCCTGGATAGCTGGTATAAAGAATGGAAACTATGGACAATGCCACATGTAAGCATTTCCAGTAATTGACATAATAAATGTATGGACAATGTGTACAAACTGACAATATCACTATGGATTTTGGACATTAGTTTGTTGTAAGCTGCCCAGAGTCCCTCGTTGTGGGGAGATGGGCAGGGACAAGTCTATTAATTAATTAATTAATTAATTAATTAATTAATTAAATAACCCGAAGGGAACAACTCAGTGGAGGAAGACATTCAGGTAAGTGAGTTAATCTCTAGCAGCTGTCCCCAAACTGGTGCTCCTCAGATGTGTTGAACGAATTTACATAATTCTCCACACCCAGTAGTCAATGGCACAGTGACATCATAGTTCTCTAATAAACTATACATCTCATAAAAACCACAAACTGGGTTCTCCTGTTTTCTTATAGCTCATGAGCCTTCCAGACATAGAATTGCTCACCTGTTTCCAACTCTGGGAATAGTAATACAGATCCTTGGGATGAGAAAACATAATAAAACCACAATTTATTTATCTATTTAATTTATAGCAATTAATCTCTCCTAAATGATGCATTTCAGAAGGCGCTAAGTTCAGAGTGAAATCATTCAGTGGTTCTACCCCATTGCATGGTTTAAAATCAGAATGCAACCCATGTAACACTACTACATATTGTTTTGAGGGGCAAACAGACTCTGTTTGCCTTAATTTTACACTAACTGTAGCTATTTCAGATCCACCAAAATATGTTTGAGTGAGTAGTTTTTTTTTATCCGAACATGCTTATCATCTGCATTCTACGGCTTATTCTTACAAGAATCTCATCTTTATAGGTAGATATCACTACTATCTACTAGCTAGTAGTTAAACCAGATAGCTTCCTAATTCAGAATAATTATGCTGTTATTTCAGTTTATCTCATAAATAAATGATAACCATTAATTAGAAATTAGAACTCTTGTATATCTCAAGTGCATACACATTGTCAAATGAGAACAAGGTTTCAGCAGAGCGATCTGATTTATTTGAAGTATATAGGACATTATACTTTTTACCTGCATAATCGGTGCTCCCTTGCTTTTTCTGAAGAGGTAAGAAAAGTGTTCCTCATATGTTTAAAAATTAGAAATTTAAATAAACCATTGGTTGAGTTTTACAGTTAAATAACCTGTGGAAGAAATTATAAAGATAATCTCTATAATTGTTCTGAAGGAATTGAAGAAGGGAGGAGAGAAAGGGAGAGAGGGAGAGAAAAGGAGAGAGAGCTTAAATCTATGGGAAGCATAGCAGACCTAATTAATGCTTGCAATGTTCCTCCAGAGAAACAGATTTTAAGTAATGTAAATGGGCTGCATAAGAAATGTTCTTGCGCATATTTTATACTTATTTCTTGTTTCTTCCTGCACAGCTGTATGCACATTGTTTTAAAGGGTAACATGTATTCCTCCCTCTTCAAATAAAAGCTTGTAATATAGCACTTGACACCAGAAATGAAAGTTTGATAATGTTATCTAGGATGTTATTAGCTGTGGCCTTGAAAGTTGAATGAGTTAATTATAGATGGCCTCTGTGTGTATGTGTGTGCATGTTTAATATCTTTTTTCCCCTTGAGATAGTTGACCATTTTATATTTCTTGACACATGCAAGGATACTTGTTTAGGAATAATAACATTCTTTGTTAGTAATACAGTTCACTCATACAGACATTAGGAAGCTGCCTTAGGCTGAATCAGTCATATTGCTAACTTAGTAGTAGCTTTTCAGGGTTTCAGGAAGAGTTTTTCCATTCCTATCTGGACATACTGGGAATTGAGCCTGGAAGTCTGCATGCTAAACATATGCTTTGCAACTAAAACTCAACAGCTGTATATTGCATTCTTGCTGAACATCTGTACTGTATCCTAGACACAAGGATTGCATTTAATAGTTTATTCCTAATTCAAGTAGTAAGGTAACCAAAAATAATACATCTGCCTGTTATGTGATGAGTTCTGTCATGTGAAAGCTTTCCAGTTACTCTGCTCAAGAAGAGTATTTTTATCTTCCAGTAAAATCCTTTATAACACCCTCATTAACTTTACCGGAACCTACTAATAATTGGGTATATCAAAATAAGTTTTACTGTACTACACATCAATAATTTAAAAATACAGAATACTTGAAAAAACAGAAGTGGCAGATCAGGACCTATGAAATGTTGATGCCTGGTACACTTACCAAGTAAAGAAGAGCAAGAGGGAGAATGCAGAATGGTGTGTTCATTTTTTTCAAGTTATTTATTACTTGCATAATAGATTAGCAGGTGAAACAATCCAGGATCAGTGGATGTCTTATAAAGTCACAGATTCTGGGTGGCTGTTATCTGTGATCGTTAGAAACAAGCCTTCTGGCCATAACATCAGTAAGCACACATTTCCATAATAATGTTGGCTTTCTATTTATTATAGGTGTGCAGTGCAATTCATAATCAAGACTATACTGTAATTGAAGATTACTGCACAGGGCTGAAGGCTTTCCTTTATCTGGAAAGCCTTGAAGAACTTCAGGACTGGGAAGGACAGAGCCCACCATCCATACAGCATCAGAAAGGGAAACCAGTACCCAAAATTGCTGAGCTGATTGGAAAGGTAGGACAACGGTTGGCTTCTTTATCTTGTTTTGTTTCTTATTATTTCGCTGCAAAATGTTTTATACCATTTTATATTATGGTATAGAAATCTCTTTTGACTTTCCAGGGAAAGAAAATGCAATTGTCAGTCTCAGAATTTTAGCCACATGGCATTCTTTATCTCCTCCAACTTAGACTTAAAAAAAAAAAATGACAGGAGTGGCAAAAAGGCTGCTGCAGAGGGGTCAGCTAAAAACATTTATTGTGCTGGTTTGTGAGAAACATGATTGTCTAATCCCATTACAGCCTCACTGATTACTGAAAAATAGATTTGTTTACTGTTGCGATATCATGGATTTTGCTAGTGTTTTGCACAGACTCTTAATTTAATTAAGTAATTAATTGTGAATTATTCATTTGTGTAATTATTCAGATCTTTAGAACAGGAGCAGGGAATACCGTTTGTGTGAAATGATTGCCAGTGTTCAGAAACAATCCAGCATGCATCGAATGCGGTGCCTGTGTTTATGGAGGGGGAGAAGGGAATAGCTACACCAGCCTCATTCTGACAGAAGATAGAGGCAGTTGATAGAGGAATACAGGCCTGTTCCAGAATGCACATTTAGCCCCCCCCGATTGAAATATTGTCAGTAGTTGATTTTTATCCATGTTTTTCTATGTTCATAAATGGCCCCCTCTAGGTTAAAATACATATACTTCTGCCAGCGAATCTCCACTCCACCAGCAGAGAGGCAAGTCCACAGCATCCTAACAATCTCCATCCTTAATTAGGAAGTCTTATTTGTTAACAAAATAAAGAGAATAAAATAAAAAGATCTAGCTGGATTTGGTCTGGTTCAGTATAAAATAATCAAACTTATTTTTTTTTAGCTTTCCTCCCAAGACTTTGAGATAAAGATGCCGCCATTGTTGCAGGCTTGAAAGGGAAGCGTACAGAACTGATTTAGATTGCTGCAAAAATTATTTGAACTGACATAAAGCATTATACCATAACACACCATTTCCGCTATTATTACTGAAAATCTCAGTAAGGTGCACAGAATTAATATACCTTCTCTTAAGCTCTGTTTAAAATATAGGGAGGTGTGGAGATGGAAGATGACCTTGATGGAGACATGCAGGCTCCATTGCTTAGGCAAAAGGGGCTGAAGAATTTTCAGCCCAGAACAGCCAGGTAATCTTCATAAGTAGCTATAAGTAGCTCAGGCAGATGCCTCCCTGATTCACTAAACTATAAGAAAGAGGGGAAGATACAGCACAATCAGACTTGCAAGATTCTGTTATTATAGCCAGTCTCAAAAAAAGATTTTGCCTTCCTGTGGAGTTGATTTCCTGGTCTGGTCTACCTGGTGGGGCTGACAGGAAGTGCTAAGGGAATATGGAGTATCAGTGTAAATCTCACAAGATAGTTTTTTTTAAAGTGACTTTTTTGACTTGTGGGTATCATTGTGAGGCAGTATCCAATGGAAAAGGAAAGTGAAAGACTGAATAAGTCAAGATGAGTTTAAGTCAACAAGATCTCCCTTGGAAACCTGGCAGTGGGATATTTAAAGAATTTCAAAATTACTAATAGGAGGGAAAAAATAGGAAACATGGAATACTCAGGGTGAAGGTACTGAGTTTAGGAAGTCATGAACCTTTCCTCCCTAGTGATGAATGGTCTGGCCATCATAATTTTACCCTTGGGTCACAAAGTAGTGACCTTGTCTTGTCCCCAGGCTGTGATTTTAAAAATCTTGAGACACCACTCTATGTATTGAAAAATACCTGATCCTTTGCCTTAAGTTCCCAAGATCCTATCATAGTACCAGGGTGGGATAAATTTGTGGTCTTTTCTTCTTCTGCCACTGTATGTTGTAAGGGAGGTACTGTATGTCCATGTTCTTAGCTCAGCCTCAAGTTGCATCAGTAAGTGCCAGAACCTGGGTAATAATAACATGAGGTAAGTGCCTACATTTTAGAAGGGAAAAGGGGAGGAACAATGTATGTATTCCTTCATTCCTTCATTTCATATATGTAAATCCAAAATTCATCAAAGACTTCCAGCAGTTAACAGCAATTAAAACATCCATGGTAATTACAGAAATAAAACATCCATGGTAAAGTGGTTGAAAACGTAGTCATAATAAACAAATTAAAAACACATAACCAATTTCAATCAAGTCAACCCCGTAATCATCTGACCCATTCAACTTCAGTGACATCCTAAGTTTGTTCCCCTCACCTTCCTGAACTAGGTAACTGCCAGGAGTTTTTCCTGGGGCAATTCTGTTGGCTGGATCAATTCTAATTGAATTGAGCCATCCTGGAGATAGCTGCATACAAAGCCATTGAAGGCTTTATAGAACAAAACCAGAAGTCAGAAAAGCAGAGAGATAAATCCTGAGACATTGTGGCTTGAAAGCTCTGAGTGTCATGTCTGAAGACTTTCAATATAAAAGTAGTTTTGATTTTTAATGTGATAAAAAGAAGAGTTATTAAATGCATATTATTGGAGTTATTGTATTAATCATATCTCATTTTAATTAAGTGTAAGTCAAAGGTCAGATAAGGTCCTCAGCCCAGAAAAGTTTAGCACCTCTGGAAGTAGGTGATTCTTGAACAGCAACTTCCAATTCACAAGAAAGAACAGTTTTGTTGTTTCTCCCTTCTTAACTATGGAAGGGAGAGAAAAACTTTAGGTTGAGTTTAATGTATTCTTTGTAAATGACATTCAAATTTGCAGGGCTTTCCATAGTGAATCAATAATGATAAAAAAAAAATGCTTTCATTAGATAAAGACTGAACATTAACAATTTCAGGAAGTGTAGGAGCAGGGGATACAACACATTCTCTTATTCATTTCAGTAGAGAGCTTTGTAAGGAAACTTTCAAGTGCATGATAGCGTCTTCATCGTTTTCCCCCCCAACCCCAAATCAATCCAAGGTGTTCAGGAGATGGAATACTGCTCTTTGATGAAAAGATATTTAAACAAGAAAATGACTTGACAGTTGTCAGTCCTGTCAAGCTAATCTACTAGTGTGTAATAGCATGCAAAACATTTTGAATTCAAAATGCTGCTTCCAGATCAAAACAGCTGCTCCTCACTGGAAGTACTTTGACACCGCTCTGACCATGTGAAAAGTGTTTCGTGCTCAGATCTCTGACTTCCTCCAGAAATTGCCTAGTATTCCATGATTCCAAGTAGCAGGAATAGATTTGACAAGAATATAATAGCATTCAACTGTATATAGAAAAACACTTAACCAAATTAAGGATCGGATTCATTTTTTTATCTGTTTAAACCCATTTATAAAAGAGGATTGAAAAATATTTTGCCTCTGCTATTGCAAATTAGGATAAGCAGTATAGTTCCATTCATACACAATGGATTGGCTTTACACAACATGGTTAAACCTTCCCCCTGCCAAATCTTGGTTTACAAATTACAATGGTAGAGTTTATACAATATGCTATGTCAGAACCAAACATTCATTACCTAAGAGTCCATGAATCTGACCATTAGGAGTAGGAGAAACATATTTTAAAATAATTTATTATTTTTGACATTTCAAAGTCTCAGAAGATTTCCATGCCATTCATTAAATTCCATCTTGTCCTACCACATCTGTTTCAAGTTGAACAAAGTCACCTTCTGCAACTAGTGCTTCTGGCCTTTCTGATGCTTCCAGACACAGAATTTTGAGGTGAAATGACTATATAGCTCCAACCTGGAAACACTATTTCTGCCTATACTCTTATCTTCACCAGCATATCAGAGAGAAGTACTAACCTGGCTCTTGCCTCGTTGTTTAAATTTCTACTTACAAAGATTTCAATTTTCTTTTCTTTCATTCAAGTCTATGATGCAAAGTGATGTGATTTATAGCAAAAATTCTACCACCTCATTCTTCTAGGTTGTATAGATTGCCGTAAACCAGGATTTTCAGTATTGAAGTGGAGAATTGAGCCTATCAACCACAACTTGAGACCTAGGCCTAGCACACTTATGAGGGCATTTACAGTCATTGTTTAAAAATCTATTTGGGTCTTTTATTTATTTTACTTAAGGGCAATAGAATAGAAGAACAGAGGTCAAACTTTTATTTAGACTTCCATAGATCATCTCCAGTTCAGACATGGATTTAATTTTGTGTAAAGTAGAAATCTTGTTTTCTATCAGAATCCTTAAATTTATTAATGTCTCTGAAAATGTCATATCAACTACACAGATTAAGAGTGGTGGATATCCTTACAATTTAGACACCGAGTCCTATCTCTACTTTTCTCTTCACTAACCAATGAAACCAAGAACCTAGAAAGTAATTCTCCATAGCCATATGTAAGAATTCTCTCCACGTAGCTGCCATCCTTAAACATTCCCAATTTGCAATAGGTCTCCTAAGGGACTATTGCCAGCTGGAATAAGTTACAGCAGGCTCAGGGTGACTTTTGCTTTCAGTGAGGAAAGCCATGGTCAGAACCAGATTTTAATTTGCTCCCCAGCGGCTTTTGCCTCCCCCACTGCTCAGAGTAGATTTTAAGCAGAAAACCTGTGCTTTTGTTTCTGGCTTCTGAAAGAGATTCACTTTGGACAGTGTTTTCAGATATACATCATGCCTATTGATTATCCTTCAAAAAATCTAATATAACATGGTTGAAATGTTGTATAAAGCCAAGATTTACAAAAGAATGGGATTTGGCATGTCAGATACCTCCAAATCTCTGCTTATCATTGCTGAAGACTGAAGTTCTTTTCAGGGAAAGGCTAGAAGAGGTTCTTTGTTCTTTGTGAAGCTCTGAAAATTATAACATTACCTTTCAGTTGTAAAGACAATCCTATCACTACACCCTGGAGAACACAATATTCCTGACTTTTCAATTTAATTAAGCAGTTTTTCTTTCAACAAATGATATTATGTAGTTAAACATGGATTAGTACCAAACTCTTTTCACCTTTGCTTCACCCAGTTAACTTTCCTTCATAGAAACTTACAACTCATTTTATCCAAAGAAAC